GGCTTAGTGATGTGATCTCCCCCCTCTCAATATCTATATCTATATATTGAACCCCCTTTCGCCGTCCCTGAACAGAGGCCTTTGTTATCGTTGTTAGCGGAGCCGATTCGCTTCATTTTCAGCGCATTTTTATCGACTGCAGAGCTAATTAAAAGTGAAAAAGAACGCCGGGAACGGCTAAACTGCGGTTCCCGAGGGTCTTCGTGGCGCTGTTAGTTTGGCAGAAATTTAACAAATTATTTAATGATAGATGGTTGTTAAATTGACTGGCCCGTCTGGATGCCTAACTATGGGTTATTGGCGGGTATTAAGTGATTAGAGGGATAGAGGGGATGGATCCAAGCGGCTTGTTATGGGATTAGCTACATCGAAGGCCCGATGAACTTTTCAATCGCAATTCAATGATTCAATGGTACTCGAAAAAGTCGAGAGATGTCAAACATACAGAAAAAAGGGCAAGCGAAAAAACAAGCAAACAAATGACAATTCGAACATTTCGTAATCCCCAGTGTCGCACAATTGAAATATGTAATTAATTATGCCCATAGGCGGTGGTCGCCTGCTGTTTATTTTCTGCTACCAGAAAACAACAAAAAACATTTTTTTCGATAGAAATCTACAAAACTATTTGCCACACACTGAAAATTCGGGGATGGGGATTCGATTGTTGTTGGCTTTTCGAGGGACCGCAAGCAGCTTCAAAAGCGTCGCTGGCTTTTTGTTTTTGTTGCTGCTCATATTTCGATTTTAATGAATCCACTCTATGATTATCTTGATTACGAAACGGTTCCCCAAACAAAATAGAAAAAAGCGCCACACAAATAAAGCATTCAAATGAAATACTCCCGCCCACTCAAACAAAAAGCTTGAATGCACGACCGAATGCATGAAGAGTTATCGCTATCGCTATCTCTGTCCCCCTATATTGCCGTCTCGCCTGGTGGTCTTTTTCGGCGGCGAACTACTGAAAATATTAATTAAAAGCCGTAAAAGCAACAAAATGTTAATAAGCAGTTATCATCCCGCACTCATCCAATTCAAAATTCGAATGAAAATTAAAGCAAATGCAAATTTTACGAAACATTTGCAAATAAATGTGCTCTAATTTTACAAAATACTGAGTAAATGGGGTCGTTACGTTGGCAGTTAATGTGGGAAATGTATAAATGAAATATTTAGTAAATAGGATCTAATTAATTTTTTTATGTATGCTGATCTATATTTAAATTCAAAGGTTTCCATCTTTATAAATTGTTGCGCTTTTCAAGTAACTAAATTACACCTATATCATTTTCAATACTTTCAATACCAAAGTAATTCCTGGTTCGAGGCCAACCTCGTTTAGCTTGTTTAATTTTGCAATTAAACGCAAAAACAATCATTATTTGTGTGCAATTATGCCGGCTTTATCCTTATAACTCATTCAATTGTTGCCATTTTAGAGATATTTTTGTTTTTTGTTACATGATTTATTTTATGACCATCGGAAGGCAGTCATTGATTTTTATTGTTCGAGTTAGTTAAACTTTTATTGACTTTTAATTTCATTTGTTGTATTTAGTTTATGCTAATGGGATTACCATTTTATGGGAAAGCTGCGGCTTTTTCATTTTGAGTGCCATCTGTGCATATTTTTAGGACCATCGGGATTAGAGTGTGTTTGTGATAGATGATGTGTGAAAGGGATGGACTTGCGTTTACACTTTCAACCCGACACCTTTAAAAGGCGTAATATTTTATCCACAAACTGGGGAAATTTTTTAATTACAATCATAAGTCATTGTGGAAATCATAGAACAGCACTCCTGCCCATAAATTTCACACTCAACTCATTTCCTGCTCATTATCATATATCCAGCAATTGTACAAAGCCTCAGACGCAATCTCAATGCGTTTTGGGTTGGGTTCTCGGTTTTCGGGGAGACTCAATCCTATCGATACACTCTGCAAAAGATAATAGTATATTTAAATAAACTATAATTTGTTAAAATTAAAATCTAAGTTCTGCTGAATTTAACAATTTATCAATTTCATTTCAACATTAAAATATTTTGTAAATTACACAATTTCTCATAAAATAGTGTGACTATTTTTGGGATTTTTGCCGAGTGTAGAGGATGGGAAATGGGAAGGCAGAAGCATCCACACTCGCGGCCTGTCCAAAAAACCCACTCAATAGGGGTTTGGCTCTTTGAGTGGGCGTTTGGAGTCTTCGGTGGTACGTGGTGCGTGTGTATCTGTATCTTTTGGCCGTACTCCCCGTATCTGTATCTCGCTTCCTCACCTCATATGTTTGTCCATGGGACTCGTGGTTTGGGCGGTTCCCTCGAGATGTTGGGGAAGGTAATCATGCTGTCACAGTCGCTAATTTCAATTATCTTGAGTGTGCACGTATACGTAATTTGTTTACTTTTGAGCGCACAAATGTCCCGAGAAACGGAAAAAAGAAGGCAGCGCATCCTTCCAATAAAGTTAAACACGTACATTAAAGTGCATTTATAAGTTTCGTGATTCCCTTTTTCCTCTCTTCTTTTTCGGCTTTGGCTTGACAATCAAAATGTCATTTCATTTCGTTTGGGAAGCTTGCAAATCCGCAATTGAGACGCAACTTACATGTCATTAACAAGGCTTAAAGCGGCCGACATGACAGACTGACAAACAGTCAGTCAGTAGATTGAGTGAGAGAGAGAGAGGGGTATAGGTGGTCGGAAAGAGAGGGCGAGATTGGGACAAACATGACAAAGGCAATGTCAACATTTCAGCCTAGATAATTCAGAATGCACTGCAATGTTGCCAAATTTCTTAAGCAGGCTGCTTGGTAAGGTCGTGGGTTCACCAGGTTTATTCAGGCCAGCTTAAGGTGTAAATATTTGGGGTGTGTTAGGTGCAGATCAGGAATCGGCAGTCGTGTTTCAATGAAAAACTAAGGCCTAACATTCAACTTTCATATTATTTAAGTAAATTAAGTGTCTTAGGAATCTTAAAAAAGTGTCAGAGGGGTCTATTATAACATACATACATTTTAAGTATTTTTAAGAACACATAAAACATGGTATACAATTACTAAGATTATTAATAGAAATCTAAAAATTATAAAATTAAATGTAGATCGGTTTAAATGTGTATTAAATTAAATAAAAACTCAGTTTCCTAGTTGCTTTCCACACTTGCTCTATATTAATTCCTAGATATTTATTTTGTAATACTATATATGACAAACACGAGCCTGCAGCGTTGCCCAACTTCACTGGAGTGCTAATGAAGCATGGCAACCGGGCACGGATATCTCGCCTTTCAAGCAGAGCAACTCGCCCTGGCTGTAAATTGGCCAATTATCAGCATTTGAAATATGGTTTACCTGCCACAAATTCTCTCTTTTCCTCTACCTGAATTCTTTGCCTCTATAAAAGGTGAGCGGCAATGGGAATCGGGATTCGAGAATCGGGACTCGAGACTCGAGAAGGCAACCTACAGACATACGCACTTTGACCTTTCTTTCTGGCAAAGACAATGCATATTGTGATGCATTTTGAGACGGGGAATGGAATGGGAATCCACACCTGCCCGCTCCTAAATGCACGCACAATTCCTTTATGGAAAAGATACACACCTTTATTTTACACTTCTTTCCTCGGCCAAAGGTATCTGTATCTTTTTTTTTTCCTCTGAGCACCGGCATTAATGAACCGACTTCACACTCAAAACTCTACCTGGGATGGAAAAGTTATTGATTATTTAACAAACGTTGGGAAATTAGGCAGCGATTTATAGAGGAAAGCCCTTTCGGATATGCACTTTGATAAATTAATACAATATCGCCTGGGCTGGCCATTCAATTGATTTCGAAATTCATTAGCACGCCGGTAACGGAGCAGAGGCGTCTATGATATAGGGACAGTGTCCAAGAACAAGAACAAGAACGGGTCTCCACTTTGATTTCCATTCTATTCTATTGCATTGTGAAACGACCAGATCGTCTGGCTTTATTGCAGTTTGGAAATAGATGAGCTAACAGCTGGAGAGTGAGTGCGGCACTCGAGCAGATTAGATAGCAAATGGTCGCCCCTTTGAAGGCGTTTTTCGACTGTCGCAGCCACTGGAGGGTTAAGCTGAGGGGGGAGGAGAGGGGCCGGACAATGGAGCCAAGGGGGCAATCAAATGCAACAAGTAGGGATTATCCAAGCTCGAAATGTTTTCGGATTTGGTTGGAAACTATCGAAGCTGAGCAGCACAAAGGTTGGCAATTTGTTGGCTTGACAACGTGAAAAAGAGTTTAAATGATCGAATGGGATGAAAAGAGTTTTTGGATAAACATTTCGAGACGAGAAATGGATGTGGCATCGTGTTAAAGTCCACTTGAATGTCGATAAGCTGCATTTTTGAATAAAGCTGAATATCTTGTGCATTTTTACTAATCCATTGAACTATGGGGACATTGTCAAAAAGTTGACAATAGGTAAAGTCACTTTTTATCTTTTCAACTATGGGGACATTGTCAAAAAGTTGACAATAGGTAAAGTCACTTTTTATCCTTTCAATTTATATGTGCTTACCAAAATGTGTTTACAAAAAATATTTAAGTTAAAAATTAAAATGCTGTTATTATTATGATTCTCTATAATTATAAGTACTTGACATATACCTTTCCGAATCGCAAATACCCCCACTATCCCTGCAAATAAACTCAAAGATACAATGAAATGTAAATGACTCGGCCTTATCAACATCATGATTCATCTTCAATCCAAACGTTCCCATCCAAAATGTTGCCCGACTAGCTCAACGTAGGAACGCTTCGAAACGAAACAAAACAAACCGAGTCTGCAGTCCAAGCAGTAAACAAAGATACAGATACAACGCGTTCCACAGCATGCAACAAGCGGCACAAAATGGCAAATGAAACGCCACACGAAGCTGCACACGAAGTGAGAGCCGAAGGGCACTTCGTGCCGCCATTCCGAGTACAAACGAGAAATGGCTCCGGTAGTCTAGTCGCATTTTGATTGTCGGACGGTTCGCATGTGCTGGGGGAAGTTTATCCGTATCCGTTCGATCCGTCGGGTTCCGCGCGTCGTTCCGGGAAACAACGGACTTAGTGGCGCCGCCATGGACTCAGAAGTCTAGTGAAGAACAGAACTCACAACGAACTCGAAATACAAAAATATATTGTGTGTGCCAAAAGAAAGCCAAGAAAAACCAAAAGAATATATCGAGAAATGAGTGCAAATCTATTTTAAATGGTGTGCAATTAAAGGAGCCGCAACGAGAATACTTGACAAAATGCATTTGTGCGAGATGCGTGGCATGCCGCGTCGGTTGCAGCCTCAGTGTTTAGCCAACGAGAGCGAGATTCAAATTAAAATTAAAATTGGGAATGAAAATGAAAATAAAAATAAAATCAGAAGTAGCAGCGAGATCAAACGCCGACACAGAAACAATCGAAATGCTCCCGAGGAGGACCGGCTAAAAATAATCAAAGTCGATCGGAGGCGACGGGTGATATTCCCACTGCTGCTGCTCCTCACGGGATTAAATGGATTAACTCAAGTTGGAGCGCTCAAGGGTAAGTGTCAACAGATGCAGATCCCGAGTTGCATTTGCGATCTATGTAGAAACACCATTTGAAGGGCAATATGACATAGTGTTACCTCTCCTTCAAAATCCAAAGCAAAATCCTTTGTGGCTTCATATGAGCTTCTCCCTCCTCTGACTTGCACTCCCCATTTATTTATTAGCGTCATTTGTTTCCATTTACGTTTTTTTTCGTCGACTCCATCTTTTTGGCTATTTTTGGTTGCAACACAGCACAACACACAGAGCAACAACAAAGTGAAATTAAGGCACTGCGGTTTATTTATGCCTGCAACGTTCGCTAATGGATTTTAAGGCCGCTTTATAGACAACGCGACATCGACTCTGCTCATAGACCCATTATTCATGCCTCTCTCCCTCTCGTTCTCATTAGAGATGCACATAATGGGAAGTCTTTTCGAATGGATATAGCTGAATGTTTGGTTTATCGTAATACCAAGGTGTTTCAGAAGTTCTACGCAGGTTAGGGAAGGTTAAGAAGTTGATATTGACGATAGCAATTGGTAAATGGGGTTGAATCATCAGGAGATATTTCCTAGTAACGTAATCTCATAGTCCAAAATCTCTTTCCTTTATCTTCACATTAACGAATAACCAAGAACCTAATGTTAACCCACTGAACCCACTTAGGGATCACATTTAGAAAAAACTAAATACAATTTCCCCAGAATACACAGATCATATTACAAACCAAAGTGAAGTGTAGAAAAAAAGGGAATAGATGAGGGTAAAACGAAACAAAAAATGTAAACCCCTAAGGGAGGATCACGGGAAAGATCACTCACCAGAGACCGAACTTTAGATAAATGAGTAATGAGTTCGAAAGACTAATCAACCGAGCGCAGTTTTCCCCGCACCAATACCAATCTTACAACTGATTACAGGAAAATCAAACAAAGAATCGAGTTTGTGGCTTTTGCGGTTGCGATGGCAAGTTCAAAAAGAAAACTAAAGCAAAATGCCTTTGAGGTTGGCGGGTTAAGTTGATTGGGGGTCTTTTGAATTAAGCCCTTTGGCGATTTCATGGCTCGGCAAATCCGCCGATAAAACATGTATCTAAATGAGCTTAGCCCGAGTCACACACCCCTTTTGAAAGAGCGCTGAGAATGTTGTAATCTAATGCTTATTAAACGCTTTTTAATGCCAAACCAACGACGCCCAGTCCACCGATATCGTCCATGGACACACGCAACTCGGATTGGGATTTTTGAATTCGGATCTCGCTAAACACTTGAACACGCAGCCTGAGGCTGCATAGAGTGCCATATAGCGAAGTATATGTATCTCAGCTCTTCCCATCCCAAAAATCCCGATGTGACGTGGCAAGTGTTGCACGCGACGTCGCTCGTTTGATATAATAAATTGTATAAAATTATCTGCACCGGCACACGACAGGATTTTCGTTCCATACTCACTTTATACCCGACTGGTGGTGTGTGACCATTCGGATTCAGCAGCTTTTGGGTGGTGGGTCAATCGCAGTCGGCTTGAGAATCTGTCGGGGTCATAAAAATTATCGCCCTCGACACAAAGTTGCAGGGTTGACAGACTTGGCAACCTTCTAATGCCACTCTGGGGAGCGTTTTTCCAGCTAACTGGACTCGCTGCATTTATTTCTCTGTTTTTTTTGTGACTCCGGGGGTGGCAGACTATACTATCCAATCCTTTGTCTTGGCCATTTCTGTTGGCATTTTTTTTTTGTGATCCGTGCCTTTCGGCTCTTGTGCAATTTTCTCATGTGCATTATGCGAAAATTGGGCTAAGTAGCGGTCTCTGGCTTACTTTCTTACTTTCCCGGGCGATGGAAATGGAGTCAAGTGCTGTGGCAGCTCCGTAGCATGTTATTTGTTCAATCACATGATTGCCCTACCAATCGCCCGGCACTCAACGAGATCTCCCATTTGCTCCCAGCTGCAGGCTAGATAATAAGGGGGTCTCTCCTAGGCAAGGTATCCATGGCCTGCACCAATATGTCGGCACAGAGTTTGGGGCAGGAATGTGATTGAAAGTCGGGCCAATGTGGGTGGAGGTGTTGCAAGTCGGCTGGCGAAAGGTCTTCTGGTATATAGATGTATGGCGAGAGATATTTGAAACTAGCTACTTACAATGCAATAAAGATCTTGGGTAGTTTATTTTTATTTTATGGTTGAATTAAATAAGATTTGGAAAGGGATTGAAATGTAAATTAGACTATCTTATATTAATAATTTAGTTACAGGTTCATATAAAGAACAAATTTTCAAATTCATCTGGTTTAAAATAAATAAAAAAAATAAAAAAATGCAAAAATATTTCAAGAAATAAAATCTTCTGAGTTTCACATGTTTGAATACTTTTCGTGGTGTATAGGAATATATTTAAAATACTACATTTAATAATAATACTAATATCTTTAAAATATGACAAACATAATTTGACAAAAAACAAAATATTAAAAAGAAAGAGCGTCACAATCATATTTAAAGAAGTAAGCAACATACATTTCCAAGATATATAATATAATATTATTAAGAAGAATGTTAAAAACCGTGATATATTTTTAATCGATCTAATCTTAAATACCTTTTATATAATCTTAAATACCTTTTACTGCAGTACAGAAATTACTGGGAATTTGCTTCACATTCTCCAGAAAATATATGGCCACTCCTTGGGGAAAAGCATTTTACGACTAATTGCAACTACCCATGGCTGTGGTTCTCCTCTCTAAGGCCGTTCGATCTTGAGTCGGCTATTTGCCAACCAAACAATAATTAATTATTTAAAACAACAGTCTTACAGGCAGAACCCAGAACTCGGGCCCAGTAATAGCGGCAGAAACATCGGGCTGAAAGGCGACTTGGACATGGTCAGCTGGGTAGTCGGAGCCAAGTTTTGCCTACGCAAAGATTTTTGTTATTTCTTGCTTCCTGGAGATCTGGGGGACCCAGCTTGACAGCCAGTCCAAATCGCCTCGGTGTACGAACGTATATATATATATATCTGTGTGTCGGCCTGGACGTACTTGATATAGCCGTGGGTTTTATGTACATTTTGTTGCCGTTGCTTTGGCTGTGATATTAAAAATAAAGGAAAATTAAGCCTGGCAGCCGCGTAAAATGCAAACTTGCATCCGAAATGTTGCAGTTATGCCAGTTGGCGTTTAAAGCCGTTGCTGTTGGCCACATTTTTGCATGCAATGCAATGCAATGCAGCGCCTGGAAAATGGTTATTTCGTTTTTTTGAGAAGGCGTTACTGCTGAATTTTCCGAAAAGTTTTTTCTGCCCGTTTATATTCGTTCGTGGTGGCTAGCTCGGAGCAAATCTGAGCTGAGCTGGAAAAGCTTGGTGAGAAAAAGGTTCGCAAATTGCATTGGAAATGCTATGTGTGAAGGAGTTGAAGAATCGGAGAGAAAGGCGGGAGAAAGGAGTGAAAAGGAGGGGTGTAACCGGAGGAGGATATGCAATTCTGGCGAGGTCAATCAACATGGAAATTTGATTCACAAGTTATGGGAAAAGGCAGTGAGCGAGGGAAAACAACTGAGTTTACGAGAGATTTATAAGATATCTTAATCGAAAAATGTAATAAAGTGGGGCATAACAATTTAAGATATTTATTAAAAAGTTTTTTATTGTAAAGAACATAGTAAATTTAACCACACAGTATTGTCCTTAATCTACAAAATATTTTTAAGAATTAAGGGCATCAAGATTTATTATATCGTTTTTAATTGTAAATACTAAATTAAACCATTAAACCAGGCAGTTAATTCTTTGTTTAAGAGCTAGAAAACTCCAACTATTTTCCTTAATCAGCAGGAAAAATAGTTTACAGTTAGGCTAAATGAGTTCACTGGGAGGATCAACAAGTTTCGCTCCGTTAATACGTATTTAATTACACAAATCTGAAATTTCCGGGTGCCCCCGAAAAGAGGTTTGTCTTTGTCTGAGTCTGTGTCGTTTATCCTTAAGCAAGTCGCCAGAGATTTGCATATTTGCACTTGATGATGTTGCTGCCGCAGTTGCAAGTTGGCGCTGTTGCAGACATGGCCCCCAGCAATAGCCATTTGGTTTGGCTTTGGCTTTGGGTTCGGGTTTGAGTTGGAGCTTAAGTTTCAGCTGCCTACGCGCGGCGAGGAAATTATGAAAAATTTTCAAAGAATCGCCTTGAGTCATCGTTTGCAGTCAGTTGCCAACAACGTTGGCGTTTTGGATTTTTCTCTCTTATTTTTCTATTTTTTTCTGTTTTGTTTTGAATGGGGCTAAAAAAGTTTTTATAATTTGTTAACAAGCCCAAAGAGATCGGCGCCGCAGAGTCCGCAGCTCGGAGTCTCCCGGCAATTATGACAAGTTGACAAACGGCTTAATCTCAATCGGCGACTTGCTGTGCGATCCTCGAATCACAGAAGATGCGCGGCATTTAAATCAATAAGAGTCTCGACTCGATTGTCCATCGTCGTCGATCGCTGGACGTTTATCGCATTGGGGATATCTAATATCTGAAAAGGGGACTACGGCTACAGTGACTCTCCTTCCAATGGGAACTCCAAGTCGCCGAGGCCCGTGTTTAAAGTCTTGCCAGCGAGTGCGACACATGCAAATTGGCCAATGTTGCTAAACAAGTTTCGCGGTTGTTGCATTTGTGGCTTGTACTCACCTGCGTACGACGACAACAACAGCAGAAACAACGACAACAAACATGCAAAAATTGGATTGCCGACTCTGCGTGCAAATAAGGCAACAGCAACAACAACCCAGGCCAAAAGCAAGTTGGCTATAAAAAGGCGCTGCCGTTGCAGACAATCAGCCATAAATCTAAATGACTGTCAACCCAGGCGAAACCTACAATGGAGTCTTGTTCTTGCAGCAGCAACATGTTGCCGATCCCCGCCGCTTACCTCACTGCACACTTCACCCCTTACTCGCACTCATTTGCCGCTGATAAGACACTAAAATATGCTAAAAAGCTAAAATAAACTTGATATTGATATT